GGCAGCATGTTACTGGCTCAGCTCTTCCTCTCGGCCTCGCCTGTCTACCTCCCCCTCTGCCCCTTCTGTCCCTCAGTAACCTAACTGCAGACTGCTTCCTTCTCAACTGACTCAGAGCTCACCTTGAGCACTGGCAGTAGGGATTTGCCCTGGATTTGAGGCTTGGTCCTCAGAGGCTGGCGGGGAAGGGGCTGGCCCCTGCGCCCTGTCCGGCATGTGCTCTGTGACATCTCTGTTCACCCAGAGGCCTGTTTTGGCTTAAGATCTGCTGCCTGTGCCTGTGACACCAAGGGTCTCGATTGCTGAGATTGGATGCAAAGCCACCTGAGTGACAGAGGGCTATTCTAACTGACTCTGACTCCTTGGTATTGTAGACCTAGTATTTCTTCAGAAACTGTCCTCTTTCCTACCCCTCACTGCTAATAATGCTTTGTGGCTTGGTATTCCAGTTGCTGAATTTCTCTCTCAAAATATTTTACCTTGCTTTCCCCTGATGCCCAGCCGACTTCCTCAAGTGCATCATAAATCTCCCATTCCGATCGCCTGCTCTTGTAGATTATCCCAACGCGCTGATCACAGCAGCTCGGCATGAACCCTCCGCTGATTAATGTCACTTGCGTGTTTGTAACACAGCCTTCAACTGTGGTGATGTCAAGATAAATCATTGTTCAGAACCCGCTAGCTGGCGGAAGCCAGGGACCTTAGTGTGACCCCCTTTATTTTCTAGGTGAGGACAACAAAACCCAGGAGGTTAGGTGACTTTCTCAAGGTCACAATGTTGGAAATTACCTGACTAAATTGGGACTAGAGTCCAGATTTTCTGTCTTTTGCGTCAGTACTCTTTCTGATTCACCAAAAACTATTCCTTCTTCTTTTTTTAAAAATTAAAAGTCTTTTCAACTTCACAAAAATTGTGGGAACATATGCATAACATAAAATTTACTATCTTAACCATTTTTAAGTGTTCAGTTCAGTGGCATTAAGTACATTCACATTGTCGTGCAGCCATCACCACCATCCATCTCCAGAACTGTTTCATCGCCCCAACTAAAGCTCAACCCATCAAACACTAACTCCCCATTTTCCCTCCCCCAGCCTCTAGTGATCATTCTGCTTTCTGTCTCTACGAATTTGACTATTCTAGGGACCTCATATGAGTGGAACCATCCAGTATTTGTCCTGTTTTGTATGATGACTTATTTCACGTAGCATAATGTCCTCAAGGTTCATCCATGTCCTAACATGTGTCAGAGTTTTTATGGCTGAATAATTTTCCATTATATGAATATACCATATTTTGTTTATCTATTCTGTCAATGGACGCTTGGGTGGCCCTCACCATTGGCTATTGTGACTATTGCTGCTATGAACATAGATATACAAATACCTGTTCGCCAAAAGCTATTCCTTACGAAAATCTTTATATTTAGAGGCACTTCCTGCTGCCTACTATTGCTGCTAATATTTTTTGTTCCTAATGGAACCTTTGGAAAGTACAAACTAGCTGAATGAAGAATATAAGCATCACTGATACTTTGTGGGCATGTATTTCTATGATTTCATATTCGTGTTGCCCATAATTTTAAAAGTTGTATGCAGAACGGAGAGAATTTTTACAGGGAGGCTAATCTAGGTGGTAGGGAGAACACTTGAAAATATTGGGTTGTTGGAAAAGTCATGACACATTTTTGCAACGGAAAACATAGAAAAAATACGTCATGACTTTTCCGACAACCCAATATATGAGACAGAGAGTATGAAAACTGAATGTGACCTTGGTAACCCTGGCATTTTAGAGATGAGTTCATCCAAAGCATGATCTTTCCTTAACATCACCACAGCTTTGTAGGGGTGCTTCTTTAAGACCATTTTAACATCTTCATAGAGTTACTGCTAAGAAGAGGCAGAATTTTGAATGGCGGGGGGTAGGGGTGGGGTGGGGGTGAGGTCTTTCCCAGTTACATTTCTTAAATATCCACTAGGGGGCAGTAAAACACACATAATTTTTGTAATGGGCTGGATGTGTGCCAAGCAATCCGGCCACCACATCCTCTTGGTATCTCTTTCAGCCATCCATGCATACAGTTACAAGGTAATGGGTTTCCCGTCTAACAGCAGGCTTGGGTAGAAATGGAGATACCATCAGCTTAGCCTAAGTGCAGGTCTTCCAAACGTTCAGGCTAACATCAATGCACAAAACTTCATTCAATATGTTGATCCCAGATTGTATTTTCATTTAATTCACATTAGTCCAGTGATTCTCAAATCGAGTGAACATCAGAATCACCTGTCATGCCTTTTCCAAAACACACATGCCCAGGTCTCATCCCAGCTCTATTAAATCAGAATGCCTGGGGTTGGGGCCTAGTTATACAGATAGACTATATTTAGATTCTGGTCGATGACTGCTTGCTAAGAACCAATGCATTCGTTTTTAACTTTAATAACTTTAATAGCTGGGGGGAACGGGTCACCCTAGAGTAAAACCTCAGAGGAGAGTGAATATGAAATTCTGGAAAACCTTTCTCCCTTTATAAAATAGAAGTCGCGGAAGGGTCTGGTGGCTATAGGAACCACGTTTGACACAGCGATGAGGCTTTCCCATAGATTGCACCAGAAGCCCAGACAGAGGATCTGGAGTGGGGGCAGTCCTCGCAAACTCAGGATCTATGTTTAGAGTTACAAGAAGGAGGGGCCAGGGGCCAGACTCCAGTGTGAGGACGGAGCTCAGATACCAGTACTGTCTGCTGTAATAAGAGGCTCCTTCCTATAGTAGTTAGGAAAAAGGAGACCTTTCATTTTTATCTTCCCAGAGGTAAAAATGGCCCAGAGAGCCTACTGTGAAGTCAGAAGACCTCAGTTCTCATCCTAACCACCCCCTCCCCACCCCTTTGGCCAGTTATGGGACCCAAGGCAAGTCGTGTCACCTTTCCAAGCCTCAGCTCCCACATTTGAATTATGAGAGGATTGGGTGACGTTGAACTCTGAGGATCCTAACAGTTCTCAAAATTCAGTGATTCTGTTAGTATTAATAATCCTGATTTGTATAGCACTACTCAGGCGAAGAGCAGAAGAAATATTCAGTAATGCAATGAATGGCAGAGACTATTGACCATGTGGTTTAATTCATTTAAGGCATATACACTGATTTCAAAGGAGAAAATATTGCTCTCAAATAATATATTGAACTGTTAGTATCTTCAGCATAGCAAAATCTTTCCAGAGGGAGAAATTACCCATCAGGACAAGCCTGACATTTTTCACTTCCTGATCCATAACTGCCATTTCTCCTGCACACGTGTATTTACTGTAAAGGGCCGAATGTATGAATGCTGTAGATGAATATTAAATAACTACATAAACGTCAAGGTCACAGTTGCAAGAAAGGCTCAGTGGAGGGCTCTGGGAGGCTTGCATTGATATCCGGAGAGGCTCCATCCTCGAATCTTGCTGACAAGGGGAAACAATTGATGTGGACCATTATTAAGGCTTTAAGTGTTTCTCCATTGTTAAAGATCTTTTACAAGCCTGGAGTAACTGATAGTGTCCAAGGAATTGGCAAAACTTCACTTAGAAATATAGGCTGGTCAGAGGGATAAGTAAAACGCAGGGTGCAGGTATCCTGAGTTGGGCTTACACAGCAGAGGTGGAGGCCAGGGCGAGGGCAGTGCTGGGGCACGCCGCCCCCTCTGAGTTACGCACTTCAGAATGGACAGAAGCCCCCTTCTCTGGCTCTTACATGCCAAGCGCTGCTGTGAGAGTGGCTCCATCTCTCAAATCCACCTTTAAATATCCTCCAGTTCTCCCCGCCTCTCCTGTGCAAACCTCCTCTCCTGACATTCAGTCCATCTTTGTAGCTGACAAAGGATGTGACACGCATCCAGGGGAATTGGGCGCGTATGAATTACGTAGACCCAGAGACCCAGACTGACTGTCTGGACTGGTCAAGTGCCCTGGGTAATTCTGTGAGTGTCCTGCTGACCTGGAGCGAGGAGAAGAGCAAATATTGTGGATGACAGAAAGATCTCAACAGACTGAAGGATTGGCCATGTCTACTGGATAAACCTAATAAGAGATATAAATGATAACACTGACATTTTCCATGTACAAGTTCTGTGTTTGGTATTGTGCTTGGTCCTTTGCACCTTTTAGTTTATTTCTTCTTTCCAATGACCCAGTGAGGATTGGTTTTGTATCCCCACTTTACAGATGAGGAAACCGAGACTGGTAGTACAGAGGAAGGTGCAAGCACGTTAGAGTCCTTGATCTAGATTCCAATCCCAGCTCTGCCCCTCAGTTTGCCAGCAAATTACTTGACCTTTGAAAAACAGCAACAGCTAGGTTTTAATGGCTGCCTTGTATGTGTCAGGTTCTGTGGGCTTAGCCCTTTGCATTATTACCTCGTTAATCCTCAGAACAAGCTTTTGCCTATTTTACAGATGAGGGAGGCACAGATAATGTAAGTAACTTGCCCAACGTCACACAGTAAGTAGCAGGGCCAGGTTCTGAGCCCAGGCAGCCTGACGACACCCCCACGCTCTTAACAACCGCTTACCTCCTCCATTCCCTGTATTATGAAAAGAGAACCACCATACTTCCTGTGAGGGTTAGAGGAGACAACTTATGACAAGTGTCTAATATGGTACCTGGCACATAGTAGGCACTCATAAATAGTACTACATCATCATCATCACCAGTTACATGACTTACTCAGGGTTTTAGCTAATAACTAGCAACGATCTGAGATTCGCTCCCAGGCTTGGTGACAGATCTGCTGCACTTTCAATCTCCCTCCTGGAGGACAAGATTGAGGGCAGTCCTTAGGTCACGGTGTCATTGTCTAGTACAGTGTTAACCTCGCTGGCAGGTGCTCCGTGAAAACTTACGCCGGCAGGGCTCATTTTGTCACTCATTCACCAAACATTTGCCAATGTCCTGTCCTGTCTCGGGGATCCGGAGAGGAAAAGAACACAGTGCTAACCCTTCTTTTTCCCTCCAAGGTACAAATGGTGAAAGATGGTGACCCCTCCTGGAAGCCCACTTTTATTGTGAAACCTGATGGTGGTTGTCAGGGTGACGGAATCTACCTCATTAAAGACCCCAGTGACATCCGCCTGGCGGCGACCCTCCAGAGCAGGCCGGCGGTGGTCCAGGAGTACATCTGCAAACCTCTCCTCATTGACAAGCTCAAGTTTGATATTCGTCTGTATGTCTTACTGAAGTCCTTAGACCCCTTAGAGATTTATATAGCCAAAGACGGACTCTCTAGATTTTGTACAGAGCCATATCAGGAGCCCAACCCCAAAAACCTGCATCACATCTTCATGCACTTAACCAACTATTCACTGAACATCCACAGTGGGAACTTTGTCCATTCGGACAGCGCTAACACAGGCAGCAAAAGGACCTTTTCTAGCATCCTTTGTAGGTTGTCTTCCAAAGGCGTTGACATCAAGAAGGTCTGGTCTGATATCATCTCCTTGGTGATTAAGACTGTCATTGCCCTGACTCCAGAGCTCAAAGTGTTCTACCAGCTGGACATCCCCGCAGGGAGGCCAGGGCCCACGTGCTTCCAGGTAACCGTCGCCAGTTCTCAGCTGAGCTTTCAGCCTTGATGGGGCCTGAAGAGGGGTCCCCAGCCTTGTGTGGGAGGAGGGGTTGGGGTGGGACGGCTACAGGTGGGAAGGGGTGGTTGCTGGTGTGGGCTTTGATGTTAAACTGGGGCCCAGCTTGCAGCTCTCTATTTGCTAGCTGTGTGATTTGGGGTAAGCTGCTTCCCTTTTCTCATCTGTAAAATGAGACTCATAGTACCTCCCTTAAAGGATTCTTGTAAGAATTAAACGAGACAACATATGTAAAGCACAGTGCCATTCATTCATTCATTCATTCATTCTTTTGACAGTTTTTACCACCTGCTTAGTAGGGACCAGGCACTGTCTGATGTCCTAGTGAGACAGTAAGTCAGGTCCCTGTGGGAGACAAATAATTTAAAAAGCAGTTAGTATAAAGCATCACAAGTGCTAGAATGCAGTAGGAAATGTTCTGGGCACTGTGAGATTGTGGGGCTGTCTAACGTTTTCTGGGTGAGAGTGAGGGTGATCTGGGAAGGCTTCCTGAAAGAAGTGGCAGTTAAACGGGAGCCTGAAGTAAGACTTACATGAACCAGGCAAGACTGGATAGGGCTAGGGGAGACAAGGTATTGTAGGGGAAGACATGTTTGCAGCCCTTGGAGAATGAGGAAAGCACGCAGTGTTTGAGAAACTGAAAGAAGTTCATTGTGATTGGAGGGTGGGGCTTCAAGCAGAGATGTGAAGAGAGGTGTGGGAAGATGAGGTGGGGCCAAGTCATGGAGAGCCGAGGGCAGTGGGGGCCGCTGGAGGTTATTAGCAGGAGACTGATGAACTCAGATTTGCATGTTACCAAGAACAACTTGGCTGCAGGAGGGTGGGGGATGGATTGAGACTAGACTGGGGCAAGGGAGGTGACCAGTGAGCTGATGGCTTTCATACAAGCAAGAGATGATGTTGGCTTGTTTTAAGGTCTTGGTAGAGATGGTGGGAGTAGATTTGAGAGCCACTGAGGAGGTAGAATGACTGGACTTGGAGGATGGGGCTGGGAGAGAGTGGAGGGATGGTGGCAGTGAGGGGCGGGGAGAAGCAAGAGTGAGTGGCAGGTGGCTTAGGCACTTCCCCCTTTTGGGGGGAAGGTCGAGAGTTGGACTTGAACATGTCTTTGAAATACCTGTGTGACATCCAAGTGGAAAGGAAGTAGACAAATGGACATTTGGGCCTGAAGTTCATGTGCGAAAAGTCTGGGCTGAAGAGAAAGATTGAGAACTCAGATGGTGACTGACGCCAAGAGAGGCTGCCAAGTGAGACGGAGGCCAGAGAAGACCCCTGTGGGGACCACAGTTTAAGTAAGGGACAAGCAGAGGAGGGGGAACCCAGCAAAGGAGGCCAAAAAGAAGTGGCTTGGGATATAGAAGGGGTATCAGGAGAGGTGCCACCCTAAATGCCAAGGCCGATGTGCTTGGAGAAGCCCAGGCGGGGCTCAGCCTCGGCAAGTGCTGCTGTGATGTCACACGAGACCAGAGCTGAAGCTGTCCCTTGTACCTACTGACTTCAGTGAGACTTGTCTCCAGCGGAGTGATGGGACAGGGGTCAGAGCGTGGGAGGGAGGGGAGTGGGAACAAGGGCGGAGCGTTCTTTCAGGTCGTTCGGCTGTGAAGGTGGGGCGAGTGGGGTGGGGGGATGTTTAGTCCAGGCCCTCAGGAGACACACAGTTTCCTGCCACCAGCTAAGTCAGACGGGAAGGAGATGATAAGAAGGGGTACCTCTGGGACCCTCTCCATCTAATCTTTAAAATGATGATTTTGTAGCAGTTGTATATAAAAAAAAGAATACACAGAACAATGTGGAAACTACGAAGCAGAACAACAAAAGGATTATCCGAAATTCACCTCCCAACCCAGAGCTCCAATACTGTGCTTCTCCCCATTGCGTTCTCCACTCACCCCCGAGGCAACCATTACCCTGAATTTTATGTTTATCATTTCCTTGCTTTAAAAACACTTCTATTACCCACGAATGTATCCCTAAACAACGTGTCGTTTTGCTTTGCTTATGTTTGCGCTTTATAAAAACACTATGGTAAAGTGTGTAGATGTCGGCAGCATGGTCTCCCACCACCTACCTGTTCGTGGGGGTCGTTGGTATCGTTTCATTTGCACTGCTGTATATCCCATTGTAAACATGCACAATTTGTTCATCAGTTCTTCTGACAATGAACATTTGGGTTGTTTCTAGCCCTTCATCAAAGACTGGCAGGAAAGTAACAGTAGTGTGGCGCTAGAGGGAGCAGGGAGGCAGTGAGGCAGCAGGAGGGGAGGCTGGTCGTGAGGTGCACCCCAAAGCCAGAGAGGCTACCCCGGGAGCTGGGCCCCAGTCAGCAGGGTTTCAAGGGAGGCTGGTGGAACGCTTTGGAGGGGTCTCCAGGTAGTGATCAGTTCCAGGAGAGGCTAATTGTCATCCAGGGGCCTGTCCTTAGGCACTTGGACCCCAGGCCTCGGCTCCCAGCAAGCACGTCTAGCTCAGCGCTCAGGTACGTGGCTTAAGGCATGAGAAAGGGTCAGTGGGCAGGACTAGAGGTAAGACCAGAAAAACCAGGTCCTGGCCCGAGCCAACAAAAGGTTAGGGCAAAGGTGACAGTTGCAACGTGGAGGCATCCAGAGGTCATGCCGGGGGACTGTGCGGTCACATCTGTTTGACAGTGATAGCTATTCCAGGAGTATCATGTGGGCCTGGCATGCGTGGCCAAGCCACAGAGCCCTGGCACCGTGAGAGTGCAGGGTGGAGGGCAGCGGTTGTCTTGCTATGGACAGGCTGTCTGGGGCAGCCATCGGAGTGGAAGCGGGGGCCCAAGCTGTGGGTAACCGGAGGGCAGACAGGGAGGGAGCCGCTGGTTTGGACAGATCGCATTGAGCAAATGGAACTCCAGTCCTGTGACCATTTTCCATTGCTTGACCGCACTAAGTGCTTCCAGGCCTGGGGCCTGGGGAGGAGCGCAGCGCTAGAAGTAACCTCCAGGGGGCGCGCTTCCTCTTTCCAGCTGTGTGACCTTGGGCTAGTGTCTTCACCACCCTGAACCTGTTTCTTTCTCTGTGAATCCCCTGCACTCACTTTCCTACCTGCCTTCTTAGGAGCATTTTGAGGTAATGTAGGTAAAAATGTTTTGACAAGGTAGGAAGTGTTAGATGTTTGAAATGTGTTTTACCATACATCTCAGATTCACACTGATTGAGAAAATAGTATCCCTTTTTCCCTGGAGTCCTCTCTTGCTTTCTTTATTCTTACCACTTGTTAAAACACTTGTTAGTTCGGATCTCAAACACCTAAACTAACTTGGAACCCAAAGATTTAGGGGCAACGTATAGTTCTGCCATTGATTTGCTGCCTCAGTTTCCTCATGCGCCTCACAGGGTTGCCGTCCAACTCGCATGAGAGAAAGATTATGAAGGGCTTTTCCAACTGTAATGTTCTTTGCATATATAATAACATTTCTTTGCTAGGAAGCCCCTTTTGCTTGTAGCCTGGGCCTGGCCCAGACTGCAACATTCCAGAACATAAACCCTAGCCAACAAAATTACATTTATTTCAAACATGTGACTGTGACCCCTTTCCCATCGTAGCCACAATAACTACTTGGGAAATTGTCATGGCCCATAGCAACTGCTGGCACAGCTCAGGCTATGGGCAGCTTTCCTGTAATCTGTTGCCTAGAAACGTGGCAGCCCTATCCTTCTGGTCTTTCCCCCCTGTCATTGCTCAGGCAGCCCCCAGCAACATATCCTCGTGCCAGTCTTCTTGAGGGCAGCAGTGTGACCTTGGCTGAAACAGTAAGGGCCATCTGGGTGTAGATGATTCATGTGGCAGAAATGCACACTCAGAGGAGAGGTTTCCAGCTCAGCTTTCAAGAACATTCTATCCCAGTTCCATTGCTTGGTCTCTATCTTCTTCTAGCTCCTTGTCTAATTCTCTTCTAGGTCGTGACCCTTCCCCCAGATGTCTGGAGGAGTCACCTTCCCTAAATCCTAAGGTGCTTCTCCTCTTTCCTCGGTTTTCTTTAACTTCCTCCTCCCCCTTCAGCCCCAGGCTCCCTAAAGGCAGGAGGCAGAGAAGCTTGGGTTTCGTTCTCCAGCGCCCTGAGTTTGAGCTAACCCTCGCTCCTTCCAGCAACTCTAGCTGGTGAGCTTGGCAAGTTAACCTCTCTTCACCTCCGTTTCCTTTTCTGCAAATGGAGATAATATTTGTATCTACCTCACAGAGCTGTTGCAAGATCGAATGAGAGAAAGCCATGTAGGACATTTGGCACAGTACCGAGCACATAGTAATCACTTAATAAATGACAGTTTTTGTTATTATTGCGTGGTGTGTTATTTGTAACAACAGTTCTCAAACTTGTCTATGAGGAAGTGCCTTGACATTAATAGGAAACCATGAAATTGTCGCATTTTAAACATAATGGAATGCCAGCGTTCCAAGGAATATAGTGTGAGAACCAAGTCCTTAGCCTGGCATTGGTGGCCTCCCAGCCTGGCTCCAGCCTCGCTTCCCTGTACCCTCCCTGAGCCCAGCGGGCCTGCCAAACAGAGCTGATTCCTGTTTGTTAGATACAACTTAACGCTTTCCCAGTTCTGCTTGCTTGTTCTCATGGCCTGCCATGCTCTCTCCTATTCTCAGTAGTATTTTTTGAAATTCAATGCCTCCCAACAAAGTGCTGCTCAGATCCCACCTTCTCTGTAAAGCCGTCTTGACCACTCCTGATATTTAGGCTGTTTTCTTCCTTTGGACTCTAACACATTCCCTGGGCGCCTGCTGAGATGAGTCCTGAGCTCGTTTGGGGGCATGTGGTTATGGGTAAGACACAGCCCCTGCCCCTAAGAGGAGCATAGTTGAGTGCGGAAGACGGACACAAGGGAATTAAAATTCCTTGTAATAAATGTTGTAAGAGGGCCTATGCAGGAGAGCACAGAACAGGGTGAAACTAAGTTTGCCTAACCCAGTCAGGGAAGGCTTCC